TATTTTTTTTCTTACTTTATTTGATTGTATTATGTTGTTGGTTTTAGAAGATATATAGGGCTGAACTGTGGGGGGGAGGGGGGGCTGCTAGGGACCCTTCCTGGGTGCATCCTTGTGGGGACAGCTGGAGGCCCCCTTGAAGCCCCCTTTTCCAAAGCAGCTTTCAGGATCGCGACTCCTTGAACCTTGATAGGAAAAGTGGCCCAAGGTTTGAGGGGGCTCTATGAGTCCCCCCCCCCCCCCGGCATTCTGAGGGGCAAAACACACTCTGCACTTGCTGCATTTGCTGCACAATCACCATCAACCAATAAAGGAGAAGGTTTGTAGCTGAAATGAGGAGTCCCTGGGGCTCTCTGAGCTTGGTCATTTTCTTGCAGGCGTTTCATTATCCAACTGATGGTGTTACCTAGTTGGGTCATGAAAGAAAAAGACCAAGCTGAGAGAGCCCCAGGGACTCCTGATGGCCATAAAACAATGCCCTCCACATTCTCCCTGCACAGTCACACCACACTCCTAGAGCCCCTCAAACCTTGGGTCACTTCCGATCTGGACTACTGTGATGCGCTCTACCTTGGGCTGCCCTTGAAGAGTATTTGGAAGTGCCTCCGGCTTTGGCCCGAGTGGCCGTTGTGGCTGAAGGCCCAAGCGAAGCAAGGCAGTGCAGCTGGCTCCGTTTGGGCCCTGCTGACCCGTCTCTCTCGCCTCCTTCAGCGCGTTCGCCCCATTGACGCCATCCAACATTTTACGGAACAGCAGCTGCAGAGAGAGGTGGAGGAGCTGAAAGAGGCTGTCCCTCCGACAGCAGTTTCCCCCCCCAGGGACACCGTCTTGGCCTTGCCCCCTCCTCAAAAGTAAGTTGCAGGACCTGAGCAACTGCGGCCCAGGTGCCCGCTTGAGGGCCTGGGCAAGCCGGTGCTGCTGGTGGGAGGGGAGGCTCTGCCTCTGCAGGGCTTCCGGGCTGGTGGGAGTTTGGAGGCACCAGCTTAGGGGAACTGGAGCCTCCCACCCCACTCCGGTTGCTCTGCCGGCCAAGTGAGCTACGATCCACCGGGGCGTCTGTTGCAACTTCTCTGGCGCTGCCTTCTGCGAATCTCCTTCCCCTTGGGACCCTGAAGGCTCGCCAGGCGTGAAGCTGGCAGCCCCTGAGGAAATGGGCGAGAAAGCCCTGCAGGTCTAACCCACCTTCAGGCTGCCCTGGGAGGGTTCTGAAGGAAGAGGGAAAGCGCCACCCACAGAGGGGGTGAAGGACGGCTGGAGTCGGGCGAAAGGAAAGTCCCAGAGGGGCAGATTGGTCTGCTGCTGAAGGGGAAGGTGGGCGCAGGGCCCACTCTGGAAGGCTGCAGCCCCTCTCAGCTGCACAGGAAGAGCTGCGGCCCATGGATACCGGGCAGCCTTCTGGGGTCTGGCTCATAAATGGACCCCGTGGCGGCATCTGGCCAGCCTCGGTGAGAGGAGGAGGGTCCATTGGGCTTCCTCTGTCCTCCTCGGTCGGTGGATCCCACTGCGCTGGGTTGGTGGGAGCTCCTGCTTTTCTCCGACAGGACCAAGGCGATCCTGCGCCTGGGAGAGACCAACGCCATGCTGAGAACAAGGATTGCTGAGCGTGAGTATCGGGGTTGCTCCATTGCTCTAGCGGGGCCCCTCCTTGCCTCCTCCTGGTGGGTGAGATGGCTGCAAACTGCTTGGCACCCTCCTGGGCGCCTCCTGGCCAAGCCTGGTGCTGCTGCTGCTGCACTCTGTGCCAGGGCCACCTCATGCCAGCCGGACAGCCAAAGGACGGCAGCCGGGGCTTCCTCTGGCTTTCTGACCAGGCCACAGGTGGGCTGGGCAGCTGCTCAGGGAGGGGAGTCAGTGTCTCCTTCAGCTGAAGGTCCAGGAGTCTTTTCTCCTCCATTGGCCAAGAACCGCCCGGTCGGTGCTGATCCAGCCCTAGAGCGGTCAGCCACGGAGGCTTCTTCTGGGTCGCCTCTGGTTCATCCTCGCGGTGGCCCCAGATAGGAGCCCGTCTCCGGCCTGGGCTGAAGCTCCTTCCCTCCTCCTCCCCTGTGTCCTTCCTCCCCGCAGGCTTCTACTTCCCCTTCATCTTCCCCCGCTTCCTCATGAAAGGCTTCGTCCCCTTCGTGAAGCTCCCGCTGCCGAAGGTCACTTTGCAGCCCTTCCCGTCCCTCTCCAAGAGGCCGCCGAGCTCTTTCCCTGCCGGGCAGCAGCTGGTGCACAAGTATTTCATCCCAAAGCTTTCCTACGCCGACAGCTACCCCTGAAGGCTGGGCTGGCTGGCAGAGGCCCAGGCGGAGCCGAGGGGCTTCCGAGGCGGGAGTCGGACGGCCCCCTGGCCGAAGAGCCAGGTGGCACCAGCCTGGCACTGGCACACATGGACCACTGGACCCACCTGGTAGCAACCACCAGGGAGTCTCCTGGGTTCTGACGCCCGATCAGATGTGCGGACAGAGGGAGAGAGAGGCGCCAATAAAGTGGAAAGTGGAGCCTCTTCCTTCGCAGGGAAACTCTTTGCTCAGCCGCTCCTGGGCTCCCCTGCGGGGGGCTGGGGGGAGAGGGGCGGTTGAAGCAGGGAAGCCTCCCGGGCAGGGCACTTGGGCCGCTCCTTCCCAGCCTCACCAGGGGGGCAGAGGAGGAGGCGGCTGCAGCCCCCAAACCCCCTCCAGCTCCGGAAGGAGAGCGGGGGCAGAAACAGACTCCCCCACCACCCCCTGTCCCTCGGCGGCTTCGGAGCGCCGCCTCTCCTCCAAGGGCGAGCAGGACGAGGCTCTCCGCCCAACGGGAGGTAGCAGAAGACGGCCCGGCGCCTCCGAGCACCCTGGTGCTGGGCAGCCGCGGCGGTGGCGCAGAGGCCCCGAAGGAGGCTGGAGGGGGAGTCCCCCCCCCCCGGGACCTTCGTGGGAGGCTGGGGAGCCCAGCGGTTCCTACCCCGCAAAAGCTCCCCCGCGGGGTGGGGGTACCGCCGACGACCCTCGGCCGACGCCCCCTGGCGCCCAGAGCCCCCATTGCAGCCCGGGGTGGGGGGCGCGGTTCCCGCAGGCGCAGACGGCGGTCTCGGTTTCGCTTTCGTTTCCCCCTCCCTGGCGGGTGGGCGGAGCCTCGGCTTTGGCGCGAAAGGAGGCGGCGCTGGAGAGGCTGGCGGTTTCTCGGGGGGCTCCGGCGCCCCTTCCAGCAGGCAGGTGCGGGGAGGGGCCGGGGGGCGAGGTGGCTTGGCGGGCGATCCCAAGGAAGATTCCCCCGTGGAGCCCTGGGCAGGCAGGGAGCCTGGGAAGCCCGGATCTTCCCGCGGGGGGAGTTGCCTGGCAGAGGGTCTCGGCTTGGCTTAAGGTCGCTCTTTGCTGCCCCCCTTCCTGCCTTCCCTGCTTCCGAGCCTGGCTCTTCCTCCCCCTCCCGCCCGTTTCCTCGGCCGGGGCCAGGCGGGCGCCGGAGCGAAGCCTCCCCCTGGAGGGAGGGGGGCGTCCTGTACCTGGGGAGGGAAGGGAGGCTTCTCCTACGTGGCGCAACCAGCGCTTGCTCGGGGTCCCGTGACCCGGTTTCCCCAAAGCGCCTGGAAGCGGCTCCGCTGAACCCCGTCGAGGCTCCCGATTGGCGTCGGAGTCCCGAAGGCGCCGCTCTTTGCGCTGCTGGGCGGAATAAACGGGTCGCCTTTCCCGCTTGGTGTGACGAATGGGCTTCGGAACAAATCCGGCGTTTGGCCAAAAGAAGAGCCGCCGTTTGCTTTCCTTGCCTTTTTGCAACGGGACCGTTTCCAGGGATCCGATGGAAATCGGAGAAAGCGGCGATAAAGTCGGGAGACGTTAATAATTAACGGAAAGTAGTAATTGAAAAGGAACAATTCATAACTATTAGGTTAATGCATTTAGAAATTAAAGATATTAGGAAGACGGGCTGAGGCACCTTCTCCAAAGAGGAAGAACTGGGGGGGGGGAATATTCCAGAGAGAAGTAAATTTTCAGCTTCTGTGCTCCCAAGGAAAGAAAACGCTCCGATGAGAGCAATTCTAAGGGGCAGGTAATAGCAATAGCAATAGCAGTAGACTTATATACCGCTTCATAGGCCTTTCAGGCCTCTCTAAGCGGTTTACAGAGAGTCAGCATATTGC